ATTTTTTTCTGCCGTTTTTTCTCAATATTTCATCCCAAGACTTCAATTGGCCCATCAGTTAGTATAATGTCATGTACGCGCACAACTACTGGCGAAAAAACTGGCTGTTTATCAAAACCAGCCTTTTGTTCACCAGAGGTTTTGTATATTTGCTGAAGTTCGTTATCGCAGGTAATATTACAAGGAAAAAAGCGTGGTTTCGAGGGTGTTAAAACGTATCAGCGTTCAGCGTTGCATGTCTGGGTGTGGTTGTATGAATTTCGCAGATTAACCTGTTGACTGACAGTGTTCTAACTCTTGACCAACCTGTAATTGCGCTGTTAGCTTCCACTCCGTATTCTTGATGCAAGCAGCACCCCCCACTTCCATCTTCCGTCTCGTCTTCTAAATTCACCGCGGTGTTAATTGCCGTAAAGGCAGATAGACTGGACAGTTGCCCGCTGCATTCGTTTCAAGGCGCTAAGGACAAATGCTTTGAAACTTCGTATAAAGTTATTTTTGTTAGTGCATTCAGTTTCGACCGAAAGCCCCGCTTTATTTTGCTTCGTTCCTGCAGCATGAATACTTGAGAATCATCTGAGGTTTACTGTAGAAAAAATTATGATACTTAGGCCGCACACGTGCTCAAGCACCGTCTTATTCCCCGCATAAGAACGAGCACAAAAGTGGTCGGCTCTCAGTTATCAGATATTACCGAACCCTTGAAAGGCATTGCGTTCTCTCCAAAGACATTGTGCTGTATCTTCAAATTTACTAGCGTTTATCTTCTAGGAAAGATAACGAAACTGTTTTCATGACGGTAAGTATATGAAAAGGAGAAAGAGATTTTCTTCAGAGTACCTGCACTAAGAAAACATATGTAATAGTTGTGTATGACGTTAATTTAGTAATACGATAATCGTCTTCGTTTTTTGAACTGGCTGAAACCGACGATTTGCTTCATATGGCTTCTCCCGCCAGGTAGTAGGCGCCGTGCTAGCAGAATTTAAAATGGTAATTGAGGCCTCTGCCACCTTTCCTTCGCTGTCAGACTTCGCTTTGACAGGTTGTGTTTTGCTATCTGCTCTGGCTTCTTGGAGATGCTGTATGCCGTTTTGGGGTGCGAACTCCATGCCAGAACGCAGACTGACTTGTATCGAGTGTACTGACAACATAGATCTTCTCCGTTGTCAGTTTATGCCCCTTTCTGGGATGCATTCTCCGTATAATCAGTTGATTGGTCCAGCAACACTTTAGAAACCATGATAGGTCCTACCTGAATCTTCGGCTACGAGATAACAGCCCTCAGAATTTACGACTGACACCTTGTGCAGCTAGACAGTTCCTGATATCTGCAAATCAAGTTCTTGCTAACTAAACTGGGACGGGCAACTTCCTCATCAAGGTGTTTGCCACTCCCAGTTTGTTTGTAGACCAGATAGGTTACACATAGGCCCATTTCAATATCACTCACCAAGGAAATCTGCGGCTAATGGGCATGAAATCCGCTTGTCCTCTCCTCAGTAAAGACTGAAGGCTTTCGATGGCCTTGGCCTAACAACGATCGCTCAACTATAGTGCGCTACCTTAGATGAGACAGTCTGCCTCGATTGCGACAACCCGGACAATAAGAAATGATGACTGAGTTGGCTTGATTACTTTATGCCTCGAACAGTCCATGCCTTACGTGCTCCACCACCGACCATCAAGTGGGGTAAGACACTGTCTTCGACATCCTTAATCCCGTTTACGTTAGCGGTGTCAAGTCTACTAGAGGCAGGGCCCTATGAGGGTTTCCACTTCAGAACTGAAACTTGCATTTTAGGGAGAGTTAATTGTAGCATGATTCCAGTCCGCTTGCGCAGAACGCGCACTTTCACATTTACCGGCATTAACAGTTGATGAGTACCATCGAGCCCTGACATAAGCACATAAACGTGGCGTTCATCGTTCTATTTTGGTCACAGGACAAAAACTGATGCTCTTATTCCGTTTTGGAGCTCCGAGTCGCGTAGCGACGAGCAATAAATAAGCAAGAACAAAGATTACGAGCAGTGGAAAAATTTTTATGTTGTAGAGCCTAATCCGCTAATAAGCCCGAGACTCTGTTTTCATTAACCACATCCTTCTCGCTAATAGTTCACGGTAATCATGAACTAATCATGGCGAATATTAATATTCCCGCAGCCATTTTTTTCTAGTCAGAGCCGCGGCGAAATGCATGTGTGATATCAGAGCGTAAGACCTGTACGACAGAATTTCATTCACTTGTAGAAGATTGCAAACGGGCATCAAGTGTGTCAGCGCAGCTGAAAATGCCTCCATGTGCCTGTGCCCAATTTTAGGCTTCATATATTTTCAAAGCCACAATTCACTACGAAAAATGTATTTGTTTACAATCCAAATCAAATACCTTATTGCCCTGACACTACTCCGTCAAAAGCGCCGCTTTTTTGTCTCAAATCGTCTTATGAAGATAGCACAACAGTTTTCCGATCGAAGGAATGTACAGCCAAGCCGTGTTAAGAAAGTTGACTCTTGCATCCAAAAATTAAAGGCAGCCTTAGAGTTTGGCGTGTTCAACTCAAAAACAACTTTGCTGAGTTTTTCACATTGTGCTTTCCAATTTTTGTTCAAGTACCCGGTGGAACAAATATTCAGATCGATCAGTTACGCCCTACTGGACACAGCTACTCGGGAGTACCTCTTTCTGGGAGATTTCTTCCTACATGGCTTCTGTTCACCGGCGACTGGACCAGAGGCCTCGGAGGGTGGAGATGAAGACAAGCCTAGTCCACCCTCTCCCAGCCGCACTTCTGATCCACCTCACAGTGGTGTCGAAGCTGCAGCTTCCCTCTTCAACAAACTCTTCGCCAGAACTCTGAACATGCTAGAGACTAGCGTGATACCCCAACTTGTCGCGACCGGTGCCTACGATCTCCTCGGCCTGATGCTTTGCGTTCAGTTGGTGCACGCCATGATCACTCTGGGTGCAGAACGCCGGGCTCCTGTTCTAACACCGTAAGTTCAGTCTACCCCGCTGCCGCGACCAACAAGC